TGTGTAGGTAGGTAGGTAGGTAGGTAGGTAGGTAGGTAGGTAGGTAGGTAGGTAGGTAGGTAGGTGTTGCTGCCCACTCTCGTTTTCTATGCTTCACCGCACAAGGCCTGCCTTAGCAGCTCTTCAGGTTCCTTCTCAGGATGAGCGCGCCTCGGTTTGGAGGCTGCTTCCAAAGAAAGTTGGTATTAAAAAAAAAGAGAGAGAGAGAGAGAGAGAGAGAGAGAGAGAGAGAGAGAGAGAGAGAGAAAGACTTCATGGAGGACCCAACCGCCGCCCTGCCCTCTTCCCCGTGAAATCCTAGCCTGCTTGAATTTCACGAGGAAATCAGAGCTGGAGTGAGACCGACAAAACTTGTAATGGGGAGGCGACCTCCGTGCCATCTGAAGGATCTTCGCAATGGGACGCGCAGCGGGAGCTGCTCCCTCCCCCCCCTCTCTCTGTGTGTGTGCGTGTGTGCGCGCGCGGGACTGGGAGAGATCTGCGACCCTCTGGAGAAGGCACTTCCCCCTTCCCTCTCTCTTCTTCCTCGTCCTTTGTCAACAGCCGGCTTATGAAGAGCAGCGCTGAGCTCGCTCGCTCACCGGCTTCTCGGAACAGGTTCACGTTCCCTAAAGGGGCTGAAGAGGGTCTCGCTGCGCAGGCGCGCCTTCTGTCCCGGAGCGGGGCGGGGAAAGCCTCGCGCTTGCATCTCGGCTCCTCCCACCCCGCGCGGCGCAGTGAATGGTAGGCGGAAATGCGCGCACTTTAATCAATGGACCAAGGACGAAGGGGTGGAGCCAAGGGCCGGCAGCCCCGCCCCTGCACTCGCCTCGACGCCCCGCCTCCCGCTCATGCCCCTAGCGAGACACCCCGGCCCTGCTCCCCCATATAGGCAAGACTAATGCCTTTGCAAGCGCACAGGGAGCAGCGCCTGCCTTTCGGAGGCAGCCGGAGGAGGGGGCCGGCGGCAAAGGGAGGACGTCGAGCTTTCTACCTCGATATAGACGAGCCAGAGATGTCGGCGATCCAAGCTTTTTGTCTCGCCACCCTCCGCTTTCTGCTGCAGCCGATTTAAAAGTTTCCTTTCGACCGTCCTTCTCCGACCCCTTGAGCTACCTTTTGCCCCCCCCTCAACTAAAGCCAACGGAGGAGACGGGGGAGCAAGGGGGAAAGGTGTCGCGGCCGTGGAACCGCGTGAAACTTGCCGCAAGTTTCGGCAGCCGAGCTCTGAAGAGCTGCCCGGGCAGGAGAGCGCCTGGCTCGACGAGAGAAGCCACCTGCCCTCCCGTCCGTCCCTCCGTCGTCCGGCTGAAGGCGATTAGGGGTTTTTTTGGGGTTTTCCCCACCCCCTGCTGGCTCTGTCTGGGGAAAGAGGCCCGTGGCAAACAGGCAGGACGGGTCGCTGCGTCTCGGGGGAAATCCTGACCAGGAGAATCTGGAGAAAAAGAAGATTGTTCCTCTCCCTGGGCCGGGAAGGGATTGGCAAGGCAGGATGGCAGGCGAGGAAGAGCTTCGCTTCTTGTCCACCTAGGAGAAAAAGTTTCCCAGGACGAGAGAGCTACAGAGCGGGCCTGGCTGTGTGGACAGTCTGCGCTCCCTGTAGGAGGACGAATCCCTGGACCTGCCTTAACGATTCGGATCGACTCTCGAGTGGCTTGATTTTTATTATTATTATTACTATTATTATTCTTTCAATTTTCCCAAGTTGGACTCGTTTGGTTCGCCGGGGTTGACTTTTTTCCCCCCAGCTCCCCCCCTCCCCCGTTGTTGCCGAGGGCGGCAGGGTGCGCCTGGAATTTCCCCCCCCTTGCGGTCACCTGTCAAATGCCCCAGTTCCCGCCAAGAGGAGCCGCGAGTCGGACTCAGTCGCTTCCCGGAGCCCTTGCTTCCGCCGACTGCCCTCGCCCGAATTAAGGAACCGGAGAGCGAGAGGGCTCGGAGGGATAAGGCCGGCTTGACGGTGCACACCGTTGGCGCGCTCCCGCTGGCGGGGAAAAGAGCGCTCAGAGGCGGCGGTGGGGTCTCGTGGGCCCCGTCGCGCGGCGGCGTGTGCTCGGTCGTGGGGGCGACC